CGGGTCGAATCCGTGACCATACTCTTCGGCTCAAACTTCAGCCCGACTTGGAACAACAGCCTCCTCCTCCAGAATTGCTCGGCGCCGCAAAACGGCTGCCTCATTCCGGCCAATTTCGTTCAGAAGCAGTTCAATTTAGAGAGCTGCAGGTCCAGCGCCGATAACATCAGCTGCCTGTCGCAGCCGCACAATCAGTCGGAGGTTATACGAATTAAGGACTTGACTCGGACTGGGTGCAAGAACTTGTTCGGGTCGTTTGCGGTTCAGTCGGGTGGGGAGTGGCCTCTCTCGCTGGAGTTCGAGACGGTGGAGTTGGGATGGTGGGTCAGGGGACCCTGCGACTGCGATGCGAATGCCACGTGTACTACGGTGAAGTTCGGCGATGGGATGCCGGAAGGGTACCGATGTAGATGCAATGATGGATTCGACGGCGACGGGTTCAATCTCGGGCGGGGTTGCCGGAGAGGTTAGTCATCCGGGCATTTTTATTCTTAGTAATTTTTTGGTAGTCATGGTCCTTGACGAGCGGTGGAAAAGTACACGATTCCGTTTGGGTGGGGATTTTGGACTTGGCCAATAACGTGCAACCACGTCACTATTCATGTTGTTCTATAGGATTGTTTTGTGAGATAACCAAGCAGTTAATTAATTAAGGAAAATGGGATTAAATTAAATGGTAGATTTTGGCTAGTCCTGATAAATTAAATTCTAAATTTTGGTCTAATTTACAATTAATTTTGGTAATGTGAAGAGACAAAAGGTCCATTTGTTGGATTGTGTTGCACTCAATTCTTCATAAGAGGACTCTGCAGGCAGCCACATCGGTTCTGATTTGAATCTGATCATAGCAAACAGCAATGTCGAAAGCTTAAATTGTTTATGAATCTTTGTGAGTATTTTGAGCATGATTTTAGGAAGAATTAAAAGTACGATGGATATATATCCCCTGCATCGTTGAAATGAAACAAATGTTTTGAGTCGAATGGTCGCTGTCCCGACGAAAGAATCCTCATTACTAGATATATTTAGGACCTTGGATCAGTACAAGTTAAGGGGTGCGAAGACTTGTAATAGACTCGTAAGTTTTTTGGTGTACTAAAGCTTGATAGTAGAAGTTGTCTATTTAGGTTGATAGTCTCTCAAACTCACCAGTTCTACTGTGTTCTTATTTCGCATCATAACGTTGAATAAATAATCGCTTGCAATGACCTGTACAAACTGTTGTCGTTGGATGATAACATGCATAAAAAGTGAGAATTTGTAATCATGGTGCATTTACTCAGCGATCTTGAACCTTGTCTTCTGCTTGTATTCCAATTATCCATATAAAAAATGCATCTGCAGTTTTTACCAAACAAATACATCCGTAATTGGATGATCTATTAATGTTCTGAAACTGAAATGTGCATGGCATCACAATTTCAATCTGGCTTACTTTGTTCTAATTGCTTTTTATACTGGTTGCCGTGTCTCTAGTTTCTGAGTGCAATCCTTCAAAGTACATGTCTGGTCGCTGTGGGGGAACAACTAGAGTTGGTGTTCTTATTGGAGGTAAACTTTCTGCTCCTTCTCTTTTTCAAATTTACATATGCTCAGCTATGTTACCTCTTTTTCCCTCTTCAAATTGTTTCCGCTTCTTCCTTCTCCGTATCTCATTTTTAGACATGATAAGTCTTAAAGACATGAGAGTGTGAACAGTAAATCCACTGACTGGTGTTACAATCCTTGTAGCTTAGCTGAGATATTGATCAAATATGAGAGGTAGTACTTGATAAAATTTCATATATTTGGTTATCTTGTGCTTTGTTTAAATACATGTGTGGCTTTGCTTTTGTCTTAGGGGTTATTGCTGGAGCTTTCTTAATGGCCGGTCTATTTCTTCTCTGTTACTTTTTTCAACGCCGTTCAACTTGCTTGAGAAACCAAACGAGCGCAAGGCGCCTTCTAAGCGAAGCGGCAGGCAACTCTAATGTTTCATTATTCCCCTATAAAGAAATAGAGAGAGGCACTAACTGCTTTGCTGAAGAACAAAGGCTGGGCACAGGGGCTTTTGGTACAGTTTATGCAGGAAAACTCCACAACGATGAATGGGTTGCCATAAAGAAGATCAACCGCCGAGACACCAATGGCATTGATCAAGTCATGAATGAGATCAAGCTCCTTTCCTCTGTGAGCCACCCAAATCTGGTGCGCCTCTTAGGTTGCTGCATAGAGGGAGGTGAACAGATCCTCGTCTATGAATATATGCCTAATGGAACTCTATCTGAACATCTTCAACAAGAGAGGGGCCAAGGATTTCCGTGGACCATAAGGCTCACCATCGCCTCTGAAACTGCTAATGCTATAGCTTATCTCCATTCTGAAATGAATCCACCAATCTATCATAGAGATATCAAATCCACCAATATACTCCTGGATTACAACTACAAGTCAAAGGTAGCAGATTTTGGTCTTTCTAGACTTGGGATGACAGAATCATCATACATATCAACGGCTCCACAAGGGACTCCGGGCTATGTGGATCCTCAATACCATCAAAACTTCCACCTTTCCGATAAAAGTGATGTTTATAGTTTTGGGGTAGTATTAGTAGAGATTATAACCGCGATGAAGGTGGTTGATTTTGCTCGACCTCAATGTGAAGTTAACTTGGCTGCACTAGCTATCGATAGGATTGGGAAGGGATGCGTGGACAAGATAGTTGATCCCTTTCTTGAGCAAGATAGGGATGCATGGACTCTTTATTCTATTAACAAGGCGGCTGAGCTTGCATTTCGATGCCTTGCTTTTCACAGTGACATGAGGCCTTCTATGACAGAGGTGGCAGAAGAACTACAGAATATCCAGCGCAGCGAGTGGGCAACAATGGAGGAAAACACATGCATGGGATCATCAGTGGCGTCGTCTTGTTCATCACCGTATAATGGAAGTGAGAAGTCATTGGGAGGTGCGACGGCCAAGAAGGCCGGTGTACGAAGCCAAAGATCAATAGTTTCACTGAGGGAAGATAGCTCTCTAGCTTCCATGGAAGAGAACAAGGATAGCTCTCCTGTTTCTGTACATGATCCTTGGTTAAGTGAACAGAGTTCACCTTCAACAAATAGCTTATTAGGCAATGTAATGTAGTTAAGTGACCCCTCATAAAACAGACAAATCATTTTGTGTGCAGACTGTCATGCATATATTAGATCTAATCTCAAGGCTAGCTGAGCTCCCTTGAGTTTTATGTTTTGATTCTCTCACACACCCTCTTAATTTTTGACCGTCGATCAAATGAATTGAAAAAGATCACAGGACAAAAATTAACAAGAAGTGTGAAAGGTAAAAAGGGGTGTGTGGATAGCACACCTCTAAAATCTATAATGTAGAGATTGAGTCCTCCCATACAAGTAAACAAACTTGTAATTCTTACTTCTTAAAGGAAATGTGTTTTGGTTTAGCAAATAAATTTATATTTTGACTCATCTTAGGTTTTCATAGATGTCCATCAAAACAATTCTCTTCTTTGACAATAGTTAACAAATTAATTTTTTGTGAAATTTAGTGTGAATGTCACATATGTGATTATATGATGAAGCAAACCAAAATAGATTTGGTGACATCCATTGAAAGCCTTGGGCGAAAAAGCAGGGAGGTAAAATTTTTCTTCATGCATGTAAGGTTGTGTCAGATGAAAACCTTTATATATAGAGGTATGGTTGTAACCTCATTACAACACATAAGATCAAGGTGAAAGTAATAATACCAATATTCCTCCCTTCTCTTTAACTGCATCCTTTGTGTGATATGGTTACGAAAATAAATAGTGTAATACATTGCACATATTCTATTTTTATCTCTAGCAAATGTTATCTCTATCTGACTTTTCCTTATTTTTACCAATTTCTTCTCTCCAACGAAAGTCATTACACTAGTTATTGTATCATCACTTAGTGCTACGGTGTACTCTTCTTCAATGGTAAGCAAGAGGTCTTACGTTTGAATGTCGGGAATGACAAGTTCAAAAATAATTTATTCATTTACCCCTTAGTATAAGTATATCGTTGTAGCACTTAACCGCTAACTACTTCATATTTTAATATGGCAATAACTACTCGATTGAGCCCGCTCTACAATGTAATTTCATGATTCAGTCCGTTCATATTTAGGTTATCAATACTAGATCATCCTTGCAAAATTTCATTCGAATTAAAATCATTTAATCATTTAATTATTATTGTATACATTTCATTGTTTGTTGACAACTGTATTTTCGTCTATTTGTCACGTCACAATTAGATAACTAAGTGGCTTCCGATTTTAGTGAATTTTGCAAGGAGATCTTTCAATATTAACCTAAAAAATTATTAGTTTAGATTATAAAAAATATTTTTAGTAAGTCCAAATGAGTGATTAATTTCGTGTTAAAATACCAACTGATTAGCCCTTTTGGCATGCCAAAGCGCTTTTAAATGCAATGAAATACAACTTGCATAGTTATTTTTTGGTTATATTAGGGTTTAAGTCAATTTTACAGTTGAATACAACTTTTTTTGCTAAATATGGGGGTTCCACTTATAATCCTAGAGTTATATCCAAAGTCGGATATGAATTTGATTATATATAGTACCAAAGTCATATATAACTCCCAACTTTTTTCGTTATATTGGAGAGTGAATGAGTCAAATTTAAAAAGCCTTTTAATGATAGATACGTTCGCAAAAATATATAGGTGGGGTGGTGACCATCCCATGCCAGAAGTGTCGTCCCTCTCGAGCTAACCTCAAGGACTAATGAGTAGTGTTGCACTTATCATCTATTTATACCATCTCTTTAATGGACGTAGGATCTACCAATACATGTGAGTCCCATCTTTATTATAGAAACTATACAAATGGTGGTACCAATAGATAGTAATAATAACATTTTTGAAGGATAAATGCGTACGTGCATGTATTCTTGAGATAATTATTGGTTGTTAATGTAGACTAAACCTAATTAAAGTAGAAGGAGAAACCTTAAAAAGGGCTCATCACAAGTTATTTATTGATCGTCTACAAAGTTGAGACAAAGTAATAAGCCCTAATAGTAATACAAGTCTCCATCTCTAAAAGTTGATGATGAAGAGATGGATTAGCTAGGGATGGCATTTTGCGTTACATTCTTGGAAAGTATCCCAACACATAGTGAAAAAAGCGCAACAAAAACATATTTTTGTACCCGATCCCGTGCCCGAGCTACATGTTTCTTGTGAACAAAACGTTAAATTCTCACCATCACCTTTCACTCTTAAATTCTCCACGACAATATTCTTCTTGTTGCTACTAATCCCAACGCCTTCATCGCCTGTTTAATTAAAACATAATATGTAAATTAAAAAAGATCGAAGAAGAAAGTGTAATTTTCTTTGACAAGCCTATATAGAGATGCATATAATGATTTCCGCACATTTACTTTTTATATGTGGCACCGTTCAGAATGAGTAAATCAAGGAACAAAAATAAAACAGAAATGTGCTGAAAGAAAAAGAGGGTGCGGGGAAGTCGTTTTACATTGGGCAAGAGCCAAGAGAGCTATGAAGACCATACAAAACAAAACCAACTGCAGTTTGATTGCCATTGATGTACTTGAAAGAGAGTCGGGATACAATTTGGTGGTGATGCAAGGTCAAAATATTGCAGGGTTTTTATAACAACAAAATGTTAGCCTCGATTTATTGTTAAAGATCCATGCTAATATACCTAGAATCCAAGAGCTCTAAATAAAAAGTAGTAATGTAACTAAAGAGATTTTAAACGTATTAATTGTGCATCCATTCCATGTAATGCAAACTCTATCTCCCACAAGTAATAGTTTAACCACTTTCCAATTTAATGGAATTAGATTTCGTATACATTTGTTGCATCACATCCATTTACTTTTAGAAAAGTATAATAAATAACTTTCATTTGACATTCTTCCGCCATTCAACTGGAGTCCCAGAAATTTTCAAATGTGAGATTGTCACTCGAGCTATTTTTATTCAAGTTTAACATTTCCCCCTTGACATTTATTCTTGGATATGTTAAAAAATCTACTCCTGAACTGGTTGAGAGTGAATCCCACATCTGAGAAAGGAGGAACTTTGCATGTGCGTGCTCAAGCCAACTAGGCAACTACCTAGCCCCCATGTCAATAGGGGTTTAAGGGTTTTTTAGAACTCAAGATTCCATTGTTAACCTGCAACTTGATTAGACTACATCCACAAGACCTTCCTATTCAAAAAGCTTCACCCAACTAAACGCCAGCACTTAAAGGTCGTTTCAAACCATTGAAACTTGCTTGCATTTGATTAAGGGTTCTCCAACTCAGTTGTGATCCACAATACTCAATCATACATTCATGGTAGATACCATTGATTTCTTAATCATCTAAACGATGGTTTAGTCGTCAACATATATAAAATAATTGTGGTTCATCATCATGATCTTAATTGTTATCAAAACCATCATCATGATCTTAATTGTTATCAAAACCATCAATTTCTATTAATTGTGTTTTATGGGGTGTCCAATATGGTAGAGGAAACTCGACTAAGAATTTATTCAAGTAAGGTATATATTATGAAAGATGTCTTAGCAAAGTATTAAATTTGCAATACAAGGATTCCCTTCCTCTACGGGGCTCTACAATTGAAGCGCAATTCGAAAACTGAGTCGCAAGGGTAAGCCAAGTAACTCACAAGAGGCATATGAACAGGACTGGCAGCAACTAGTATCATTTGCGATGTTTAACCTGCAGGTCAAATAGTATCGAGATTCCGTCTCCCCTGAAATACAAAGGCAAAACAAGCTAGAGTAGTGATACCGTATAAAGCTCTAAAAGCAATACATGCGGTTGCCAACAGCCTATCTAACCTTCTTCCAACACTCTGCTGGAGGTCGAATAAAATTACTTCTATCAAGTTGGTTATAACTCAGATTCGTTTGTTAAGAGCAATTTCATCAGATTACATATCTGGTGCAAGCCAATCAGATATTATGGGGTTCGTTAACATGGTTCCAAGAGCGGTATACTAATGAATGATGATATAACGGCTACGGTTCTCCAATTCAAAAAACTTCAGCTAACTAATCAATGCCACGAATAAAATGGTTTCTAACTTGTAACTTGATTGTAATAAAAAAAATTCGCAGCATTAGTGGACACTGATTACCTTTATATGTAATTCCTTTAACAACCTGATGGGTTCTTCTCCAAAATTACTGAGCACCTATCCGTGACTTCTTGGATCAGGAACTTGGTGAACCTTTCTGGCTTCAGCACTTGAAAACTGCCCCACTACACGAGCATGAGGTATGGAGGCTTCTCCACGGGCAAGAGCATCCACATTCTCAAGCAGATACTTTTCTGGAAGCCTGCCTACTACGTTCCCCTCTTCATTTCCGGCTTTATCTAGGAATGCAAAGTGTGGAATACCCTCAACACCAAACTCATCAAGCTCTTGTTCCCACTTCGTGTTGTCAACATTCAGCATAACAAAATTTACACGATCCCTGCGTACAAGAATCAGTGGATAATGAAGAATCTACTATTATTTCTCCGATATAGAGATTCACAAGTATTTCAGAAAAATAAATAACCAAAAATGGCACACACTATATTTAAGCGTTAATACAGAGATGCAATTATAAGCAATAACAAGTTATAACTTGAAGATCATACTTGTACTGCTGCTCAACTTTATAGACATCTGGAGCTAATTCCTTGCACACTTCACACCAATCAGCATAGAACTCGACAACAGTAGGCTTCCCATTCGAAAGAGCCTAATCAACCATAAATAACAGAAGATCGTAAGAAAAATAGAAAATAACAGCACAAATTTCACATTGAAGATTATGTCTAGATTCATTGACACACATATACACGCTGGAAAACACAAATTAGCTAACTGAAGACACGGGGATTAACAAACCAAGATGTGTCCTATATGTGACTCGTAAACTTCAGAAAATAAAAGGCAACAAATTACTACACTGTCCAAGTTCCAGGACATATATGATCTATTGAGGAATAATGTTTGAACCTCACCACTGAAATGATTTAAACTTAATGTCTAAGCTATTGTTTGAGGATATATGCTTGTCTAGGTTCTCAATCATGCTCATCACAACCACCTACCGACCCATCCACAACACCTCATGCTGGGCAAAGTAAAAACGGTATAACTAATAGGACGAACCTCTTCATAAGGTAATGCAGCAAGAGATAGGTCCTTCAAAGAAACACCAAAATCTAGTCTTCCTGATAAGAAAAGCGCGACCGCTGCAAGAGTGGAAACCACCGCTACTTGCCTGTTGGTATTCTTGTTTGGAAATTCTGGAGGGCCAGAGCTCGTAGAGGAAGTCGTAGCTTGACTACTGCCATCACTGACAGAGCCTGGCTCAGCAACCGACTTCTCCTGAATTAGAATAGTTGATGAACATAACACCAATCACATAGTAAATTCAACTCGAAAAACTATTCGAACAAGAAATTGAGCCAACGACGGTTCAGATACGCAACCATTAACCAAACAAGATACACGCAGCATAGTTTAGGGAAGTTTTTACTAAAAACACAGAAGCTTGTCAAATTATTAATAGTGGAAATGCTGCATATATTTACCAGATTATCAAACTTCCAATCCCATAGAGCAAAAATCAAGATAATAAACTACTTTCAAATTACCCAAATCCTAAATTTCATATCAATGTGAAAATCATGGAAATTCCATAATCCTAAAATGCAAACTTTCTCCATCAAAACAATAACTTTGTACTCCACGGTTGAAACCCAGTAAGGATAAATTGGGAAATATGCAAATTATTGAAAGGGAGCTCTTCAAATAGTGATTTATGCCAAAAAGATGGGAGATTTTAGAGGGACAGATAAAAGCGTACCGTTGAGGAGGGGTCAGGTGGATTGGGGGTTTGCTGGCAAGAAACGTTCGGAAATCGACGGTGGTGGTTTGGGAAGTGGGGAGTAGGCTTAACGTAGTGGTGAAGTCGAGGAGTTTGGAAACATGGCCGGAATCTATGGAGGCTAACCGGGTTTGAAGCCACGTGACCCATTTGTAATTTGCAGATAATCCTCCTGCGACTGCCCTTTCGAGTTTAATACTGTTCTAAACAGTAGGCCGAAAACTGACTTCTTTTGTGGATGAGAGAAAGGGCTGGGACTTCTTCAAGTCATTTCTCACTTTTCACTCTCCAAGCCTCCAAAGCGCGGTAAGTAAATTTAAGATCTTATGATTGTAAATATTTTCACCGGTATTAGAGCATGTGTCGATAAATACATTAATTTTGTATATTTAAATAGCAGCATTTTTTATTTTTATCAACTCAACTTTATTTATTTTATTTTTTTTGACGAATCTACGAAGACTTGTTTAGTTTAATAGTTTAATTGTCACAAGTGGAAGAGCCTAATTAATCAAGAAAAACTTGTCAATGAACGAATCATGTTTGCTTTCTCTTCTTCGACATTTCTTCTACATCCCTCACTCCCTCGCGGCTCACATCATGTCTTTTTTAATTTCACCAAATTTTACCTCAAATCGTCCTTCTTAAATTTTGATCTTTTTTACCTCTTAATTTGTGCCTAAACTTAAAGATCAAGTTTAGCATTGACCCTCCCTCGTCCAAAATACTTCTTTCAATAAGTGAACCAAATACTAACCACATCAATGCTATTTCAATCAAAATATTAATCATGATTTATGCATGATTAGTTTTTTGTTAGCGTGAAAAGAGTTGGATTTTAGCACGATCTTCAACTGAGTATAAGATTGTCAGTTTTTAATGACTTTTTTTTTAATAAACGATATATATTTTTTTTTTTGAATTAACAATACTATCCACACTAAGAAGTGATGAAGTGAGGTAAACCTCACAATAGGCTAGCAATAATGTGGTTCAAATTTATATTTGGCAAAAATGAAACTTAAAACCTCTTATTTACAAGTGAAAAAGAATATTACTAAGTTGCTAATTACGAAATTTACCATCATCATGTAATTACATGCATGATTAGCAATAATTCTCGTTAATTAGCTCATAATTAAATACTTGAAGTTTACAACTTACAGCACAATCCCAATAATCCAAATTTCACAAAGAAAAAAAAAAACAAAAAAACAACATAACCAACACAATCGAAATCGAGTTTTCACTTCTCGATTCCTAACTAACTATCCGGCCCCAAAATCCCATTCACAATCGAAGTCGCCACCAAAACCCCCACAACCTCCGCTCCCGCTACCGCTCCAGCCTGTGCCAAACCCCCGAAGCTCAACGCCGCTTCCACCCCTTCCTCCGCCGTTTCAATCCCTCGCTCCACCGATTCTATCCCCTTCTCCGCCGATTCTAGCCCCTTCTCCGCCGATTCCAGCCCCTTCTCCACCGTCTCGAACCCTTCCTTCACTATCACCTCCGCTTCCTTCTCCGCCTCTTTCACCTTCCTCCTCAGCCCAAACAGCCCAATGTCCTCCGCCTTCGCTTCCTTGGCAGCCGCAGCTGCCAGCGCCGCAGTCCACGTCAGCGACAGCGCCAACTGTCTCCGCCCGGGTAATGTGAGCCCACGAGGCGGCGCAGGCTTGGAACCGTGCGCCGGGGAGGAGGTGGAGGTGCGGTGCGCATTTCTTACTTGGTGGAGAGCTAGTACTGATGCTCTCGCTGCCATTTCTTCTCTCAGAAAATTTTGCGAATTTTGACACCACACGCAAACTAACTAATCCTCTAGCATTTTTATTTATTTATATTTAAAATTTTAAAGACGAATATGCCCTTGGATTTGTGTACCACAGCTGTACTCAACAAAACGCCGCGTTTCGATGTTGATAAAGACAAAATTTCCCTCTACAAAATTTTCGGTTTATTTTTTCTAATCGAGCGCTCTCCATTTTTGCGCCAAGAAAGAGAGGGTTTTTGAGCGATGGTCGAAGAAGCATCGGCGTCGGCCACGGCGAGCGAAACCCTAACCCAAAACACAGCCTTGGAGTCTCAGAGGTCCAACGAGGCCACCATCACGGAGGTAGCTCGGGGAGGCACCGAGTCCACTTGCAACAACGAAAGCGCGAAAGCTTCAGCTGTCAGCTCCAATGACGATCGCGAAAAGTCGCTCGAGTTTGCCGACGAGCTGATGGAGAAGGGGTCCAAGGCGGTCAAGGACTCTGATTTCAGCGAGGCCACCGAGTGCTTCAGCCGTGCCTTGGAAATCAGGTTAGGGTTTTTTATTTTCCTGATTGTTCTTGCTTGCCTTACTTCACATTCTGTTTGTTTGCTTATAAATTGAGTTTTTGGGCTCTCTGATGCTTTAAATTTTGTTGTTTTTCTTAATATTTCGTGGATTTTGCTTCTCTAGACATAAACCCTAATTGTTGTCTGTAGGTCAGTTTACCGTCGGTTAAGGTTTACACTATGAATTATGCTTTTTCAATTTTGATTTCTTTGTTAATCGAGCAAGCATGACGCCGGTATGCTCATTTTCATATTTCAAAATTTTTGTATTGTGCTGTTGAGCCCTGCTAATGCAACAATTTAGTTGCAGAATTGCGCATTTGATGGAGTCCAATTTCTTTGCCCTGTTACATCGTGTTGCATTTGTTTAACCATGGTTTCCAAAATTTACAAATTCGCAGGATGCGTTAATTATGGTATTAGACTCTGTTATATTGTATTGCATTTGTTTATCCATTGCATTTCTTCATATTCACTTTCTCATTTAATTTTTGCTATTATTTGTACTCTCATAGAATCTGCATTAGTTAATTTGCAGATGACCTGTGCGCTTTTCTTAGGTTCTTCTCTTTTTTAGGTATGCTAATTAGTAATTACTATTGATTATGTGAATAAATGCAGGGTTGCACATTTCGGAGAACTTGCTCCTCAGTGTGTCAATGCTTACTATAAATATGGATGTGCATTGCTTTACAAAGCTCAAGAGGACACCGATCCATTGGGTGCTGTACCCAAGAAGGAGGGTGAATCGCAGCAAGAATCTGCTAAGAATGTTGTAAATGGTAAATCTTCCACAGCTGCTGTTTCAAGTAATGCTGAACAGGATGCAAGTTTGAGTAATCAGGAGGGAGCAGATGCTGATGGTGGTATGTCATTTGTGATGGTTCTCGAGTATAATTGTCTAATAGAACATGTGAATTTCTGTTGGCAGTCAATCATGAACATCTGTGGAATGATAGAGCCGTGAATTCCAAACCCACTTAACTAGAAATAAAAGTCATTCAATCTAGCTCTTTGCTTTTTGCATAAATGTTGCACATGTATAAGGATATCTTCATCACATATAATGTAATGATATTGCAGTCATGTATTCCTGTAAAAATTGGCGTCGTTGATAGCTTTTGATGTGCATGAGACACTGTGTCTACCTCTCCTTGATGGTGCCATAGCTGCTCATACAGATTTACTCCACTATTACTCTTCGACCTCAAATCTATTGGAAAATCAAATGAGTCATGCCTTCTGTTTGGGAACATATCATGAGTCTCATATCCTATAAAAATTTCGAGATAATAAAATCGGCCAAGAGACACTGTTTTGCACAGTGATGAACTTGTAAAAGTCTAAACTTCTATCCTCTGTGTGTGTTTGTGCATGTCTTCTGGTTTAGATACTTGAGGAATCGTAGCATCATATCGTCAATGTTTTGGATTGTTGTTTAGTGTGTGCATTAAGCAACTCATTTGACAGTATATTCCATGTAAGATACGGAGAAATAGAGTCTAAATAGCTAAGAAGGATATAAAGGACATAAGATTAGGTATATACAGACCTGTCAGATGATACTTACTGTCCCAAAACGGATTTTTGAGAATAACTTATCATTATTTGTTATAATTACGTTATGAAGTTTAACAGTTCATTTTCTTTTCTGAGGCAGTTTCTGGTGGAAAAGACAAGGATGAAGATGATAATAGCGATGATGAAGACCTGGCTGAAGCAGATGCAGATGAAGATGAAACTGACCTTGATTTGGCATGGAAAATGCTTGATGTGGCAAGAGCTATTGTTGAAAAGCACCCGGCTGACACATTGGAGAAGGTCGACATATTATCGGCTTTGGCAGAAGTTGCACTGGAAAGAGGTCTGTTGTGTACTCAGTTTGGTTGAATTGAAATCTGTGTATAATTTTTGGTTGAAGAGGTTGTTGAACTTCACTATAATTTTTGGTTCATTTCTTCTGAAAACATCTTTATTTGGCTTTAAATTGTGTCTCCTTGTAGAGGACATTGAAACTTCTCTCAGTGACTACCAGAAAGCACTTTCCATTTTGGAGCAGTTGGTTGAGCCTGATAGTCGACGTATAGCTGAACTGTATCCTATTTGGGATTGACATATAGCCTTTTGAGTTCATAACTGTTACTAATAAGACATTCTTTTCTATATTTTTGTTTTATTTTATTCTGGTTTCCCCCTGTTCGCACTGGGTCAGGGACTCACAACCTTAACCGGAGAATTCAGAAATTTTCGGATATGTTTGTGTCTAGAGATTGGCTCGAAGCCTGAGGAAGCCATTCTGTATTGCCAGAAGGCTATATCAACCTGCAAGTCTCGTGTGCGGCGGCTCATGCTTGAATCAAGGAGTTTCACGGAATCCACAATGTCGTCGTCTGCTTCTGCATTGGAGCCAGGTGTCACCCTCTCCTCAAATATGACCAAATCTGATAATATTGTGACAGATGAACAGGCAGAGATTGAAACACTAACTGGACTCGCTGGAGATCTGGAAAAGAAGGTAGCTAATAATATTTCATCCCTTAATTTTAAAAATGGAAAACATTCACGTTTATGTTTTATCTGATTTTTGCATCATTGAGTTTGTAGCTTGAAGATCTGCAACAACTGGCGTCAAACCCAAAATCCATTCTCGCTGAGATTATGGGAATTGTGTCTGCCAAGGCAAAAGGCACTGAGAAAAGTGAATCTCCGTCAGTGATGAGCTCTTCAAGGTTGGGAACTGCTGACAACAATGGAGGTTTTGACTCCCCAACTGTTTCTACTGCTCATACGAATGGAGCTTCTGGAGTCACACATCTTGGTGTGGTAGGAAGAGGAGTCAAGCGAGTGTTGATGAACACAGGCTCGGGAGAATC